AAAAATGCAAAAAACTGAAACATTGAATATTGGTGAGAATGTGGAGTAATTGGAATTTTCACACATCACAGATGAAGGTATATAATGGTGAAACCATTGCAGACAGTCTGAATATTTCTGAGAATATCAACTGTATAAATAACCTTTGACTGTCTCATTTCACTCCTAGGCATTTGCCTCAAAGAAATGAAAACCTATGTCCATAAAAAGAATTATAGGCCCGGCGAAGTGACTCATACCCGCAATCCCAGTACTTTGGAAGGCCAAGGTGGGAGGACTGCTTGAGCCCAGGAGTTTAAGACCAGCCTGGGCAACATAGCAAGACCCCATCTCTACAAAAAAATACATAAATTAGCCAGGCGTGGTGGTGCATGCCTGTAGTCCCAGCTACTCAGGAGACTGAGGTGGGACGATCGCTTGAGCGTGGGGAGATTAGGGCTGCAGTGAACTGTGATCACACTACTGCACTCCAGCCTGGGTGACAGAGTGAGATCCTGTCTCAAAAAAAAAGAAAGAAAACTTAGGTCTGGGCATAGCTGTTCAGGGAGATGCTAGCCTAAGGCATCCAGGCCTCCTTTTACCTGGTTAATACAAGGACCCCACAATCTGTGCGTTTGAAAACCTCTCTATGGGTCATCTCAGGAATCCCTGAATATGCCTGTATCCCTACATCTTGCTTTCAGTCAATCCCTCAACCCTCTCTGAGGATGTTTGAAACACCCAGCCTCCCTTTCCAATAATACGATTAGCTTCGGGCGATGATATTTTAGGTACAGGAAGTGGCCTATGTCATCCTAATTCTGCACTGGTATAAGGAGTAAATATGGTCCTTAATCCCCGGAACATCCTTAGGAAAACTTATTCAGTTTATTGAGAAGAAAATCTAATATTTGATAAAGCAGCTGTTTAAAACCATACGTGATTTTCTCATCAATCTCTTTCCTGGGTTACTGAGTGGGCACGCATGTTCTTTCTTTCCCAGTAATTGCTATTTTACTGTGACATTCCGGTTTAAGACTCTGACATTTAAATGATAAATGTCGTGTCTTGAATCTCAGCACAAAAACACTTTTCTACGAAATTGCTAATAGCAGTCTTCATTTGCCGAGTCCCAACCTGAGCAGATCCTCACACGGCTGCACTATTCATGTAATTTGAGAAATGACTCAGTATCCCTGCGTCATGATTCTCCGCAAGGCACAACTCTCTAAAAGTGCCACGAGACAGAGTCTCTCTCCCCCTTTCCAACAAGGCGTCTTCCACAAGGGAAATAAATGTTCACCTTTCTTCTCTTTCAAATGTCAAAGAATTGTTTTCTCTTACAGCAAAGAATCATCCACAAGTTAAAATTGGTTATCCATTTTCTTATTGTGAAGTTTAAAATACGGGGAAAAAAATGTGCATGAAGTTCATTGGAACAGGTGAATACATGATGGCAACAACTTCCTGGGTTAAAAGAGACTAGGGTTCCCAGAACCCCCAACCCTTCCCATCTACAACCCCCTTCCTCCCTCTGCTGCCCCCATCCACCCCGCCAGCCCCCTGGACATAACCACTATTCTGACTTTTCTTTTTTTTT